GGTGCAGCCAAGTGTAAAGATGGGAAACACTTGTTTGCCGAAATCAGGAAACAACACAAACGCACGGAGTCAACAACAGGAGCCAACCGCACATTTGTGGTTCCAGTTAGAAGACCTAGAATTCCCAGGCTACATCTAACATGACCACGTAGGCAGCTATAGCTACCTGCGTGACATCCGGTTCCAGTATATATATACAGACAAAGATTTTATCGAGTGTGTATGATGTACAAATCAAAAATGAAACAATTAGTGGACATAACACTCCAAAAAGGGGGGCAAACCGCGGACACGTGTTTCCGGCTATTGGCCTCATCATATATATATATATTGAGTGAGTCTCATACCAAGTTTCGTTCGAATAGAAAATTTGTTGTTGTTCTTGTCTATATTTAGTTATTTGTTCTAAATATTTGTTACCCGTTTCCACTATTCTTCTGCTTTCCATAACTGCTTGACGTTTGTTTATTATTTTAAATCTATATTCTAGTTTCTTCATCCAATTCTGAATAGTTTTGCCACAGCAGCTCACGTTATAGCCATAAGTATTCAATTTTTTCCGTATGATTTCAGTTGTAGGAATCTCATTGCTTTTGTAACAGTCGTATATTGTCTTTTCAATGATTTTATTCGATGAACATCTTAAGCTTTCAATAATCCTGTATCACATCGCGTTTTGCGTTCATAAGGTTTGTTTTTGACTATTTTAGGTACAGTTGAGAAAGGAATCTCGGTCAAATCTGATGTTGTTTGTAATAGTTTTTTTCCCTCGAAACCAACCTTGATATGTAGATTCTTATATACATTGATACATACTCTCTGTGTTTCAATTTTCAAATGCATCTGGATCTTATTCACTGGTATCTCTTTTTCGCATTGTTCACTATCGCTATTGGAACCACTACACTGGAAAAAGTCTGCGGTCTTATCACACTCGTTACTACTATTAGTGCTTGTTCAAGAACGCCACATTTTGAACAGATAACAAAAATTTTAAGTAATTATAACTCCACCAATATCGAATTTCAACATTCAAATCGCGATCAGTAACTGAACGGAACACGACGGCGATAACCTTTCCTGATTTCTATTCATCACCGTAACATGACTTCAAATTTAATTTTATGACTCCTCAGCCAATCATAAAACTCGGTTAGTAAAAATTAATACAATACAATACAGACCGCCAAGTCTACAGAGCATTCGTCCTCGTTTTTGACAGACCTGATTCTTGGATCTGTTTTTTAGCGAAATTGGAAGCTTTTGTTTATTAATTAGAAAATTTTACGATCCTCACTATTTAGCACTTAATTGGCACCTAATTCATTATTTTATTATTATTTTCATTGCGTTGCTAGCATCACATACTGCTAGCAACGCAACTTTGAGTATTGAGTTGCGGTGTAAGTTACAGAGCACCTAATTTTTGACTTCGGTACCTAAAAAGCACCTAAAAAGTACTTAATTTTGGCATTTTTTATACAGGCGATTTCTGTACTTCGTGTTGCTGGCGCAAGAGCTTATTTTTTTCTGTGCTCATTACCAATTGCTAAAAATTGCACTTTAAGTAATGTTTCTTCAAATTGGATACTTTTATAACGCAGCCAGTCTTGAATGTCAAATTTCTTCTATACTGAAGTTGAATTTTTTTCCAGTTTACTCGAATGATACAGTGCATTGTCAGTTTAGTATTTATATTCATTATTACCATTCCAAGTGAACTCGTTCACCCATTTTTGAACATTCGAACCATTGTTAATCACTGACCCTGATCCACATGATGGAGACTCATCTTCCACTGATGCATCCGAAGATTCATATTCTATTTGTGACAACTTGAAGGCTAATTGTAAGTCGAGAATCTCTTGTTCTTTCTTCAATAATTTCTGCTCCAATTCTCTCTTCTTGATTTCTGCCTGAATCATCAATTCTTTTTTGACTTTTTCTGAACGGGCGCTACTAGTTTTGGACTTAATCGATTTCCTTTCTTGAATGGAACCCTGCCGTGACAGTTTCTTCTTGCTGTCTGCATGTGAGTACTTACAAGTGGAGTTTTTGTCATCAATGCCATTACTCTGCTCCAAATGTAAGCCACGAGAAGAAATGTTGTCTTGTTCCCTTTCACTACTGATAGGAATCGCTTCCTTTTCCCGTTTTCCCGCTAATCTCTCGCTTCTTCGATTTTTTGACATGTCTCAATAGGTTGATTCGGTAAAGGCGTAAAAGGACCAATCAATGTTGTGTTTTACCTGAAATATCTAAGTTAAATCCGGTCTCGAAGAACAAAATATTGAAATTCAATGTCAGTCAAAAAAGTTTTTTTATTCTCTTTGTTTTAGTTACAACAACTGAACATCAAACTAAATATAATTACATACAGGGTAAACAAATAATAATGAATCTTCGGATGCATCAGTGGAAGATGAGTCTCCATCATGTGGATCAGGGTCAGTGATTAACAATGGTTCGAATGTTCAAAAATGGGTAAACGAGTTCACTTGGAATGGTAATAATGAACATAAATACTGAACATTGTCTAATACAACAATACATTTATCATTAAGTTTCAGTTTATTTACAAAAAAAACATATTGAAAAGAAATCAATTCGTAAATATCAAAAACTTTACAGTTTCGATATATTACTTACTCCGTTTTGTTCGCTAATCGCGAACCCTCCACTTTTAATCAACTTCTTTCCTCCCCTTTCCTCCTCCCCTTTTTTGAATCTCTCGATGTGAATATCGAAATTCGCTCAACCAGGTGTTTCCAAATGAATATAAAATATCCTGTTCGACTGATTGTGTTTCCGTTGTTTGGAGTATCGCCGGTCTTTGGAAATTAAAATCGATATTCACTTAGTGGCTCTCTCTGGAAGATTGATCTCTTTTCGATGGGAGCTCACCCCAGTCAGTCGTCCCTTATATTCAATATTCGAGTAGATAGATAGGCCGAGAGCAAGCGAGCTTTTTGATTTATTTAACCTAATAGATAGCAAGATGTATCGGGGTTGAGCAAGTGCGTTGCAAGGTAAGGAGTGGAGGGTTTGTAGTGGATGAATTATTCTATGCTGAATGAGTTAAGCATTATCAATCGGAGTAAGCATTTTCCTGGAACAATAAAAAAATTGTTTACTCGAAAATTAATGGTCGGAGGAAGCCAATGGCAAAGCAATTTGGTAAATGGTTGGTCGAAGAAAGCCAATGATAAAACAATTTGACAAATGATTGGTCGGAGAAAGCCAATGACAAAACAATTTGGCAAATGATCGGTCAGAGAAAGCAAATGGTCGAAGGAAGCAAATGATCGGTCGTAAAAAGCAAATGTTGGAGAATGTAAGTGATCGGCCTGAGAAAGCAAGTGGTGGGAGAAAGTAAATGATCGGTCGGAGAAAGCAAATGATCATTCGGTTGAAGCATTTTCCAGAAACGATAAAAAAATAGTATACCTATTGGTGAATGATTATTCGGGAAAGCCAATGGAAAAGCAATTTGGCGAATGATCGGTCGTAAGATGTAAATGTTGAAGCAAATTGGCAAATGATCGGCCGGAGAACGTAAATGGTCGAAGGAAGCAAATGATTGGTCAGAGAAAGCAACTGATCGGTGGGAGAAAACAAATAGCAAAGTAAATTGGCAAACATTCGGCCGGAGAAAGCGAATGATCGGCTGGAGAAAGCAAATGATCGAAGAGAGCAAACTATTGGAAGAAGCAAATGATCGGAGGAAGTAACTGATCGAATGGAGAAAGCAAATGGCAAAGCAAATTGGGAAATGATCGGCCGAAGAAAGAAAATGATCAGACGAATGAAGCATTTTCCAGGAACAATAAAAAATAGTTTGTTGGCGAATTATTGGTCGGAGAGAGCCAATGGCAAAGCAATTTGGCGAATAATCGGTCGGAGAATGTAAATGTCAAAGCAAATTGGCAAATGATCGGCCGAAGAAAGTAAATGGTCGGAGGAAGCAAATAATTGGTCAGAGAAAGCAACTAATTGATGGAAGAAAGCAAATTGGCAAACAATCGGCCAGAGAAAGCAAATGATCGGCTGGAGGAAGCAAATGATCGAAGAGAGCAAATTATTGGAAGAAGCAAATGATCGGAGAAAGTAACTGATCGAATGGAGAAAGCAAATGGCAAAGCAAATTGGAAAATGATCGGCCGAAGAAAGCAAATGATCAGACTAATGAAGCATTTTCCAGGAACAATAAAAAATAGTTTATTGGCGAATTATTGGTCGGAGAAAGCCAATGGCAAAGCAATTTGGCGAATAATCGGTCGGAGAATGTAAGTGTCAAAGCAAATTAGCAAATGATCGGTCGGAGAAAGTAAATGGTCGAAGGAAACAAATAATCCGTCGGAGGAAGCAACTGATTGATGTAAGAAAGAAAATGACAAAGCAAATTGGCGTATAATCGGCCGGAGGAAGCAAATGATCGGAGATGGCAAATGACTGGAACAAGCAAATGATCGGAGAAAGCAACTGATCAGTCGGGGAAAGTCAATGGTAAAGCAAATTGGCAAATGATCGGCCGAAGAAAGCAAATGGTCGAAGGAAGTGAATGATCGTTAGGAGAAAGCGAATCGCGTAGCAAATGATCGGTCGGGGGAAAGCATTTTTCAGAAACAATAATGAAAATTGATCAAACCCTCAAAATCTATGAATGGAAACATGCTAATGTAATTCCCATACCAAGAGAAACTGAAAAAGATAAATGTCTCCGAACCGGATATAATAATGTCAGGACAGACAATTCCGCTTTCTGCTTTGGTGAGTTTGTAGGGGGTTGAAATGGATACCAATATGTCTTGAACATTCATAAAGCTGAAAATGCAAAGGGTGCTTCTCAGAAAAGCTTAGAACACAGTTCCGAACCAGAAAACTGTACACACCTCAGCAACTTCTGATGCTTTATAAAGTTCAGATCAGACCTTTTTTGGAGTATTGTTCCCATGCACGGAGCTCCGCCCTTAAGCATACCCTGAAGCTGCTGGATTCCATCCAGAAAAGAGCCATCCCTCTGATTGGCGGACTTACAACCTTGATAGTCTGGAAGATCGAAAAAAGGTTAGAGATTTGTGTCTCTTCCATAGATATTTTCACAGGAAGCGTTCAAGTGACTTGGCACGTTTGATTCCACCAAGAGCAGTACATATCAGAATGTTCAACTCAGTACACCTCGAACTTCGGTATTCGAGAACTCTTTCATTTGGAGAATTGCGTTCATGTGGAATAAACTTCCTGAGAATGTTTTTTTCAAATGGATTTAATTTTCAACGGTTCAAAACCAATGTGAATAGCTACTTTCGCATAGGCACCGCTCTTAGAGCGCCTAAGGATTTTCCTGTAGTGCTCGTGTTTAGGTCCTGCTGAGATGGCACAAAAACCCAACAGGATATTTTCCTTCTTCCAGAGTTGATCGCTGTAAAAGTTCCAATGCATGGATCAAGTATGTATGGAAGTATGTAGCGCAATGAGTAAATTGATCAATTTATCTTTATCAATACGTTGACGCTGCGTCTACAGGGGAGATGGATGTCGAGTTTACGACTACAACTGACCTCCCTGTAAATTTAAATCAGGAGCGAAAGCTTCTCAACTCTCCAACTCTTCATCCAATAACTGAACCTAAAAAAAAAGAGCGGGGTACCTTATGAAACTGCCTTGCACCAAATTCTTGGGCGGCGTACGAAGAATCTGTTTTAGGTGGAGGAACAAACCCCCCATGAGCAGGTTAGCAAACGTCCAAAACGTTTACGTTTACGAGCGGGTTAGCAAACCAAAACCAGGTCCCCGCTGGAGACCGAATCAGGTTTTAGAGATCGGCAGAGCCGTACTCTTACCATCTGACTTGAAAGATCACTCACCATACAAACTAATCAGCTTCGTTAAGAAGCTGGGTTTATTTGGTCGAATAGACCCACTCACTTTGGACCTAACCTAACCTATGGCCCGAGCCTTCCTATTGTCATCTGCGCCATACTTCTAGCTTCATAATATATTCTAGCGGCCATGGATATAAAATACTCACCAATTAGGATAAAAATTGATTAACTACTGAAATAGCGACATCTGAATATTTTTGACAGATGGCATTTGAGAGACAGGAATAAATTATAGTTCAAAGCGATTGGAAGGAAAATAGTAGTTTTCATTCAAATCCATTGAAAGTTTTCCTGTGTATTCGCGATGAGAAGGATTTATTATTTATTCAAAACGTCTTGGAAATATAAATGATAGATACACCAATATTCATTTCTTTCCTCAATTTATAAAATATATTCAGCCATAACTAACGACGATTACCGGAGGATTGTGATGAGGACACATTTGCTCGTAATAATCGCATCTACTAACTAAATTCTTGAAGAAGTTTGCTTCCAGTCCAGTTTCCCTTAAAAAAATAATATATAGTCAATGTTTTCTTCAATAGTCATATACGATACCTCGAAATTATTTTGCCAATTTCACAGAAAAATCCACAAGATTCAAATTCCTTGAATGTCGAAACTACTTTGCATACGTGATTGAGTACGCAAGAGAATCCTTGAGAAGCCAATCTGAAAAAAAATATAGGAACCTAACCTCAGTCTAGTACGTCATAGAGTTGAGATTGACAAAGTTAAACCAATTTTCAGAACAGGAAAAATATGACAGTTATAGACTCACAATTATTTTGAAAGTAATGCAGTCCTACATGTGTTTGAATATCTCAAGGAATCGATACTTTTCTGATGCATGTTGTGCATCAGAAAAGCAAAATAATAGCGAATTTCAAACGTGAATGAAGTCAGAACATTGAGTAATTATTCAAATTTCAATGCTCCAAATCAGCAAGAACAAACATTCTTGATATTGATTATGCACACATCTACGACTAGGTGATCTAACGGTACTAGTAACTGAAATATTTTCCATAACGTGATGTTCAAACAAATTTGCCCCAATTCAAATGACGATAAATATTTTCTTAACGTTTCTTCTGGATGAAACGCGCGTAAGAAAAAATATGGTATCGAACGCCCCATACGCAGGTAGTGAAATGAATTCAATCCGTCTCACGCGATTAGTGCCTTTTGCCATAATTGTTGTTACATTTTCACTTTATGGTGTTTTGGGAAGTACTGAAATCTCCAAAGCGAGGGTGCGACGAAGTGTTTTGTTCACCAAAAGTAGCAAATTTTTTGTAAGTATAACAGAGCATATACAGTGAATTCCAGTTTAAAAATCTGTTTGAAATCTGTTTTTCCGTTAATCAGCTGTCGCCCCCACCATGAATAGGTCGCGACAGTAAAATAATCGTGAAACACGTCAACTTCAGTTTTTAGGGGGAGAAGTCTCTACATAAAAACCAGCCCTTTGTTATTAATCGATATTTTATTTGCTGTTTGAACTGACCACCATTAACTCGCATTTAATTGATGTAAACTTACTTCTGTTTTCTCCTTTCCAATCTGAAAAATATCAAGTTTCAGTAGCATCTGCAGCACCTGGTAATTTCTGCAAATTATTTTCACCAGATTGCAGGTTTTCTATGTTTGAAGGACAAACTCACTATTTCAATCCGAGTTTGAAGTTAAAACATTTTTTATAAAAGAAATACAAACAGAGCAAAAAGAAAAACTTTTTTAATGAAACTAAGCTGACAGTCACTATTTCAGAAAATGCAGGGAATTTTCTGTGAAGATTCCTGCACTGACGCCTGTCGAATATAATCCAACGCTCTTCGTGGTATTAGACAGGGGAGTAGTTGTTTTCTGATAGGCGTCAGTCCATTCAACCTACTGTGTAGGTATACTTTAGGTCGCTGATGGCGACTATCTTGCCCTGATGAGTGGCTTATGAGCCCGAAACTGGTCTGCAAGTGTGCCCGGTCCAAAATTGAAGGTCGACTCTTTCAATTGTATTGCCAATTGCATATGCAGAAAATTTTCTGTGAAGATTCCCGCACTGACGCCTATCGGATATAATCCAACGTCCTTCGTGGTATTAGCCAGGGCAGTAGTTGTTTTCTGATAGGCATCAGTCCATTCAACCTACTGTGTAAGTATATTCGAGACTGGCTTGAACGTTTGAAGTTCATTTATTTAGATTTTTTATACATACCTTGTGAATTGAAGGAAAGTTAGCGTCTTCAACGTATTTTCTGTCCTTTGAACCAAATTGTCCAGAAACTATTAGTTTACGTTTTTAGCAATCCAACCTACCATTTTTCAATGATTTCTGATGATATGAGTAACATTGAGATCAGCTCAAAATTTTCTGGATTGTCAATGAAACCTCCTTGTGAATAGGTGTCACTAAAGTTGGCTTTGATCTTGAAGAAATGAGATCTATTGTTAGGGAGACTTTTTCATTTTGTTTATAACTGGTTTCAGCAGAGTTAGATGTTTTTGAGAGTAATGGTTACTAAGGACACTTCGAATATATTTTTCAGATGGGATTATAGAATATTTTTAATGTGAAAACAAACACTTGAACTGTAGACGGACGTGTGAGTCAATAACCGACAGCGATGTTTCGAACCACTAGATCTTATCAGTAGTCCTAGGCTAAACTGTCCTGAAAAAGGCAAACCTGTAAGTGAAGGCAATGACATCTCCCCTTACGAAGGTGTTATCTACTGAGATCGACAAAAGATTGAATTCTCGAATATCAAAAATGAATGACGATCAGCTACAAACCCTTTACTTTCAGGTGTGTCCTTTTCAGGAAAGTTCAGTGGTTCAACTTAGAACCACTGACGAGAACTGGTGTGTCGAAACATCACTGTCTGATGTTGGACCACAAGTCCATCTACCTGACTGCGCTTAAAGACAGAAGACAAATCTCTTTCGGCGATTGGTGTCAAAGCTTAGCTTTGTAACTGATAGCTGGGAGATTCGTTTATCTTTGATATTCGAGTATTGAGTCTTCTGTCGTCCCTAAGGTTGCGTCTTCGTAGGAGGAGATGTCACCACCTTCAGTTGAGTTCTATTTTATAGTAATTCTTTTGTTTCAGTTTCGTTTCAATGGCAAACTCAACACACTCAATTACACCACCATGATTGCTTTCGGATATACAGTCAGAATGAACTGGGATCTGCCACACGATACAAAAAATCGATTTTTGTTCTTCAAAAGGGATATTCACGAAGATATTGATGATATACCAGACCGGTGAGTGAAAGAAAAAAATGAAATAAATTACACTACACGAAGTGCGGAGCCGATTTCGTTCTTTTACCATAGGCGTGCGCTTATATAATAATGTCTTTTTACATCTCCTATTTTCTTACCAACTACAAAACCTATAAACAATAATAACAACAGCAAATAAACTAAACACAATATCGATTTCTGACCGTTTATTATAACTAATCCGATGCCCCTGGTACCGTCGAATCCTTCGAAACTACAGCACTGAATGCGTTGGATGAGAACCTCATCCTAAGAGCGGTTGAAGATCCCCGGCAACTCGGGCGAATCACGTGGTAAGCGGGCCTACTGTTTACATTATTCTACTGTGGTTAGAGGTTACATCCCTGATTAAAATTTCAAGTTATGTGTAATTCGAGGTCTTGTTAACAAAGATTTTCCACACTTTTTTTTCTTCAATTAAGTAACACTTCATTGTGAGATTTTCACTGAACTGTTTACAAAACCGCAACACGTGTTTCATTATACTTAAGTATAACACCCGAGCTGGAAAGTCTTGGGCCTAAGAAAGAAAACGCGTTTTTTTTTGTTCAGAATTGGTTTTATTCATCAACGTAAACTCCATCAACAGTCACACAATCATTCCAGCATCGCTCTAACATTTCAATACCACTTTTTAGAACGATTTACCTTGATACAAAAAAAGGCTGAGGGAATCTTCCAAAGAAAGGAAGGAAGAAATCAATTTGAAAATAAGGAACTGTATACAATGTGTAGATCATGCAAAGAAGAAGAACTTTCAGACACAAACTGAAAGAAAGTCCTCCTGAAACAGCTACTTTCATATAAACATTGAATTACACGAAAGAAAAAAATTCTTTCGAAACAAATACTTCTATATGAACACTGAATTATACAGAAAAAACTTTTCTCTACTCAGTTTGTATTTCAAACATTCGTTGTGGAATAAAAATCAGATTTCATTCACATGAGTTCTACTTTGAATGTGAATGATATCTGATTTTTATTATTATTATTTTATTAAATACCGAGGCCACATTCTTTCCAGCCGATTGTTGTGCTTTTGGACCCTTTGGACGATGTTCACCAGTTACTCTCCACTCAGATGACGATCGTTTTGATTCCCAAGTGAAGTGATGGACCCATACTTCATCCATTGTCACACATCGACCCAAAAATTCCGGTTTGTTGTATTTAAACATGGCCTAACACTGCTCAGAATCATCAAGACGTTCTTGTTTTTGGTCAACAGTGAGCTCACGCGGCATTCAATTTGACTGATAGTCAAATGCAAATAACTCACGTATTTTCACTTTTCGATCATTCAAAATGATTTCATGGATTTAAAAAAATGTTTTCTGGTGTTACTGCTTCATTTTGACGTCCACTGCGTTCTGCATCATCGGTATCTCTACGACCACGATTGAAGTCAGCAAACCAACGTTTAATTGTTATTTCTTATGGAGCGGAGTCCTTATAACACTTTTCAAGCCATTGCTTTGCTTGAACGGTTTTCAAGAAGCAGTGTAAAATCAAAACGAGAAATTGTTTTTGATCCATTGTTTTGAAAATAATAAAAGTAGTGTCACTCTTAGCACAATAACTCACAAACTTATGAGTAGAATATCATGAAATTTCAACAGCTTTCTTTTGAAGGTTAGTAATAACTGACATAGCGGTAAATGCAATAACACTAGCGCCATCTATGTGTTAGTCTCGAGAATTTTCAGGCCAGGCTTGAGGAAATTGTTGGATAGTGAAACACGTGCTGCGATTCTGCAAACTGGTGAAAATCTCACATGAAGTATTACTTGTATACGTCATGGATTTTCATCAAGTATCAGCCAGTTCCATCACATATTTATCTATATTTTTTTCAGATTGGCTTCTCAAGGATTTTCCTGCGTACTCAACCACGTTTGCAAAATAGTTTCGACATTCAAGGAATTTGAATCTTGTGGATTTTTCTGTGAAATTGGCAAAATAATTTCGAGGTATCGTATATGATTATTGAAAAAAATATTGACTATATGTAATTTTTTTTAAGGGAAACTGGACTGGAAGCAAACTTCTTTAAGAATTTAATTAGTAGATGTGACTATTACGAGAAAATATGCCCTCATCACAATCCTCCGGTAACCGTCGTTAGTTATGGTTGAAGACATTTTATAAATTGAATAAATAAATGAATATTGGTGTATCTATTATTTATATTTCCAAGATGTTTTGAATAAATAATAAATCTTTCTCATCGCGATTTCACAAGAAAAATGTCAAATGATTTGAAGGAAAACTACCATTTTTCCTTCAATCGTTTTGAACTATAATTTATTCTTGTCTCTCAAATGATATATGTCAAAAATATTCAGATGTCGCTATTTTAGTAGTTAATCAATTTTATTTCTGACCGGGATATTATAAGCTTATATCGTCATAGTTACGCTATCAATAAAGAGGGTCATAACTCCCTTGGGACATTATAGATTTTATAATTCCCTCTACCTTTCACAAGTAAAAATAAATAGAAATGAAAACTGAACCATATTTTATTTATTCACGTCATTACAAATAATAAATGTACAATTTTGAAATGTTCCCTGAAAATTACTTCCGCCACTGAAAACAATTTCTTCTTTTGTATGGCTGGAGCTTCTGTTCACTACAGTCGAGGTACATGACAAAGTAGACAACATACGCGCCGTTTTATTTCTCAATTCGATGCTATCCTCCAAATACCCCTCCGCCACCGTGGAACTTTTCCAACCTCCGTGTCTTTTTAAATTAGTCATAGTTGCTCCTGCATTGGCTAGAGCAGTAGCAGAAGTGCGACGAAGGCAATGTCCCGTATAGGAAGATGAGTTTGGCAATCCTAAATACATTGCGATTTTGCTGGGGATTTTCCCAAACATGTTTTTTCCAATTGGCTGAGATGTACATTTATTTTGTCGGAAGCTCAAAAAAAATCGTTCAATACCTTTAGGACGCAAAGACATATAAAGTCTTAATAAAGGCAAAGCGGAGAACTCTTTTTCATCCACAACTGTAAATTTCTTCGATACACCAGTTTTACTTTCCGGTACGTTCACTACCATAACGGAATCCCGGTCCTCTATATCCGATATCTTCATATTCAAAAGTTCCTGACTTCTGCATCCTCCAAAATAACCCATAATCAAAAAACAACCTATAACAAAAAAAAGGAAATAAATACACACAAAAAGGAAAATAAGAAAAAAATTACCTTATGCAATAAATGAATATCATTAGGAGCGTCCTTTAGGAATCTGATAACATCTTTAGGAGATAAAACAGCAGACTTTTTCGGCTTATAACTCTTACTCTTCCGTTTCAAAAAAGCCTGTAGTTCATTGAACTTGGTGATATCTCGTTTCTCATGTATAGTCACCATCGATTTTAGCATTGACCATTTAGTCCATAAAGAATTCGGACTATACGTTTCTGACTGAAACGAATAAACACAATTACTACCAAATCTACCGAAAAACATAGAAAATTCCTTACCAGTTCTTGAAAATATGCCAGAAATACAGTTTCAGTGACATCTTTTGGCATAACATTTTTCCGTGTCAGCCAGTCCAGATATATCTTGTATTCTTTTTGGTATACGGCTTCACTTTTCGATGGAATTAATGATTCTCTTGCTTGTTCAGCTTTTTTCAAAATATCCTCCATTATATTTGGGGTAGAAAACACGTTTTCACCGCAAACACAGCTTGATAACAAAGTTCTGTTTATAAACAAGTAACATAGCAACAACCTAGCAACAAGAAAACTCTACTACAATCAACGGTACCTGATTCAAATATACCGGGAAGGTAATGAATTGGTACATTTTTCCGTTTCAAAAATTAACAAAATTTTATTGAAATCGGTCAGAAATAAAATTATCTATGTACCACGGGAATTAATGAGCCTTAATAACCTCAGGCAATTGCTGTCCCTCGGGCCAGAGGCCCTCGGGACGCAAACTTTGCCATCGGTAATTAAGGCCCTCCTAATTCCCTTGATACATAAATAACTATTTATCCTAATTGGTGAGTATATTTATATCCATGGCCGCTAGAAGCAGAGTACAAAGCTAGACGTATGGCGCAGATGACAAAGGAAAGCTCGGGCCATAGGTTAGGTTAGGTCCAAAGTGAGTGGGTCTATTCGACTCTCCACCGCAACCCGCAAGGGTTTATTTTGGCTTCTTAACGAAGCCGATTAGTTTGTATGGTGAGTGGCCTTTCAGGTCGGATGGTAAGAGTACGGCTCTGCCGAACTCTAAAAACCTGATTCGGTCCCCAGCGGGGCAGGCACAAAGTATGTGCTCTGCTGTTTCAACATATTCCAAACAGAGGCGACACACACTGTGCATATGATGATTCAAATGACAGTGACCTGTAAGAAGGCCTGTTAGACATCGTAGTTCATTCCTACTGTAGTCCAACAATTGTTTGGTATCAAGCTTCGAAGGGTGAATCGCTCGATTCCTAAAAAAACTGCAAAAAAAAGAATTTTTCTATGAAAAGTAACAAAATCAAATTTTCACAAGAACTAAACCAAACGAGAGAAATGTTGGAAGATTTGGATTGGTTACGCAAGAGGACAGATGATGTATCGGTAAAAGAAAATTATAAATTACTGAAGAGGAACATTAATAAGAAACTTTCTCTCAAAAAAAAAACATTATAATGCAATCATTAGTGAATCGGATAACAATACGAAAACACTTTGGGACATTGTCAATAAAGTTAAAGGAAAACATAAATCTAACAAAATATCTGAAATTAATTTTAATAACGAGGACCTAACCGAACCAGAAAACATGGCCCCGGTGTTTGGACGATATTTATCAACAGTGATAACCGATACATTGAATGAACATTTTGGTCAACAGTTTTCCACACAATGTACCACAGGTGAATTCAATTCTGCATCAATGTTCTTTGAACCCGTCACAAAGGACCAAATACTTGAAGTTATAAACTCATTACCGAATAAAAAATCTACAGATCCGGATGAAATTCCGATTTCAGTACATAAAGACACCAGTGAAATAATTGCACCAGCTTTCGAGCATATCATCAATCTGTCCGTATTGCAGGGTAAATTTCCCTCTAGCCTCAAATTAGCCTCTATAATTCTTATTTTTAAAAAAGGCGATCTAAGTAATTTCGAGAATTATAGACCAATCGCTTTACTAAGCATTTTTCTAAACTGATAGAGGAAGTAATGGCCAATAAAATCACACATTTTCCCAACACATATAAGGTTTTATGTGACAATCAGCATGGATTCTGTAGTGGTTTATCAACTGAAACAAGTACGATAGAATTTGTGTAATATGTCAACAACAAAATGAGCTCTGGAGAATTTGTGATCTCAATTTTCTTTGATCTCACTAGAGCTTTCGACTCGGTCGATATTTCTTTTATGTCTAATAAATTAAATAACCTTGGTGTCCGCGGCCCAATCAATGAGTGGATCGCGACCTTTCTCGAACGAAGAAAGTTCATTGTTAAGATTGATGACGTCATCTCGGAGGAATTTGAAACAGATATTGGTACACCCCAGGGAAGCGTACTAGGTCCTTTAAATTTCCTCATTTTCATCAACCACCTTGCCACTCACATATCTCAAGGAAGGGTGCTTATGTATGCAGATGATACTTGCATTACTGTGTCAGATACTTCATCTGTAAGACTATCCGAAAAGGTTCGTATATGACTAAGAGAGTTCAAGGATTGGTGCTTTAAAAATAAACGTCATAAATAAAAATCACAATAAGACGGAATATTTAGAAATTCATAGCAAACATAGAACACCTCTGCATTTACCGCTCTCATTTGAAAGAGTGTCAATTGAGCCATCCATGATGGTGAAGTTCTTAGGAACACAATTCAATGGCAACCGATCATGGAACTCGCATGTCGATGTAGTTTGTGACAAGTTGAACAAATGTCTTTATGTAGTCACCACACTCCAAAGCATGCTAGAACGAGAATGTCTGCTTGAAGGTACTCTGGGGTACTCTGCTATTTCATATAGTATCGTTGTGTGGGGTCAAGCGTCCGAACTACGAAAAGTGTTTGTGTTGCAAAAACGTATTATTAGACGTATTTTCTGCTCATCTTAAGAACATCATGCAGAGACCCTTTCAAAAGTAATAAAGTTCTCACGGTGCCCTCTATTTATATATTAAAACTTTTGACTCACATTTTCAAGAACCTAAACAGCTTTAGAAAGCATTGTGATATTCACATGTATGACACCAGAAACAAAAGAAATATCTTACCGAAGAAAATTTGTCATTCCATGCAAAAAAAAGCTCCAGTGTATACTGGAGTACGTCTATTCAACATTCTGCCTCTCGAATTGAGAGAGAGAGCTGACATCCAGATATCTTCAAACGGAAATCAAAGAAAGTACTGGCCGAAGGATGCTTTTACTCCCTCCGTGAATTCGAACTTTTTTGTGGTAAGTGACTTTCAGTACTGACCTTCTTATGTTTCTTCATATGTAGCTTTATCTTTGTGATGGTCTTGTGATTTTTTACAGGCAGTGAAGTATGCGTCACTGAAATACCCGATTCTAATTCGGTCTTTGACTCGACGTTTCATAACATTTAAAAATGTAACCCTCTTTTTTTTTAACCATTATTTATAGTTGTCATTTTAATTGTACATATTCATCAGACATAATTTAATTTGCGAACTTGGACTAATTCGATCTATTTTTGTTAATGGCATATGGATGCAATAAAATTTGAATTTGAATTTGAATTTGAATTTGAATTTGAATTTGAATTTGAATTTGAATTTGAATTTGAATTTGAATTTGAATTTGAATTTGAATTTGGTACTGGTACTGGTCCAGGTACTGGTCCTTTGCAAGGAGTTCAGCAGCCTCATTGCCTTCCAGGCCAGTATGGCCAGGAATTCGGACCAGAGACAATTTGTTGAGTCTTCCTATCGAGCAGAGCCGTTTTTGGCATTGCCAATACCATTTAAACGTTGCTCGGTAGGAGCCAAGAGCTTCCAACGCCACCGCTTGACTGTCCGAGAATTTTTTTATTGACCCGTGTGTGAGGTTGGATTTATCCAATCTCTCCGCACACAATTCAATAGCGTAAATTTCCACTTGAGATACAGTCGCATAGGTTCCTAGGCAGGTTAATATCTCCGTCCTGGATCTGCGACTGAAAATACCTGGCGGCTTTCTAGCGGCCATGAATATTCTTCTTGATGAAAAACAGAGAATTGTGCACATTGCAATTTAGTATACAAAAACACCATCATTTATTATTTCAGTGTCACTATTTTTCGGGTTTGGGAACGTCGATTTTTGGAATTTCCTCCTGACTTTTCGCTGGCGTAAGTGGCTAGCTTCTTCAGAGATTTATACATCCTAAGTTTATCTCCGATGTGTATTTATGTTTACTCAGGTAGTTTGGTTTGCTAATTCGCGGATAGAGTTCTTCACCGCTGTTATCACTTGTGAGTGGCGTTGTTTCATGCCGAGGTAAGTATACGTCCCTCCGGCATCCAGATAGTATAGGTAGAGGCTTCTATCTATGAGCTGCACATCTTCTCCGCAGACCTTGTACCGACCTCTTTTGAGATGGACCATTGCACATTTGTCTATCCCGAATTCCATACCGATAGCAGGCGTGTACTCTTCCACCACCTTCAAAGATTGATGGAGATCCTTCTTTCCAGAGGCATAAAGTTTACGATCTTCCATATAAAACAAATGGTTGACCTCATGCCTCTGGTTTTGCTGTGGCAGTATTCCTGAGCGCAACGGATATTGGCAATAGTGAAATGCAAAAGAGAAGGGGACTGAGGGAATCGCCCTGAAATACACCCCTTCTGAAAGTGACCCACCTTGTTTGGACTCTAGCTTGACCAGATGTTATGGTGAAGCGATTCCGCCAGTTGTTAAAGGCATATCACTATTTTGTCGGGTACCGAAATATTTCTGAGCAAATGCAGGATGAGCTCATGCAATGTTGTATCAAATGCATTGCGGTAATCAATCCAGGCCATAAAGATGTTACACTTATACCGTATCGAATCCTGCTTTACACATCTATCAATGAGCAGGTTCTCTATACATCCAGCGACTCCTGTCTTCGACCCACTCTGCTCATATATCCGTTCGAACATTCGGCCAACTGCGGTGAGTATTCGTGTGTATAAGATGCTCGTAAACAACTAATAATACGAATTTAAGCATGTTATTGGTCTGTAATTCTTAGGAATGAACAAATCTCCGTCTTCGGGGATGAGAACGGTCCGCCTCTCGACAAACCAATCCGAAATCGGCTTCTCTCCGTTAAGCCATGAGTTGGAAACTCTGGCCAGATGGTGGTGGAACCTTGGTAGTTTTTTCCACCAATAAGTGGTTAGCTCATCTGAGCCTAAAGCAGCAAAGTTCTTGGAACCAACAAGGGTTCTTCGAACTTCATCCGGGGTTATCGGGTTGCGCAGTTCCTTGAACTCATGCTGTCGAACTTATCTGCTCAAAGTAGTGTATGCGCTGGTCAGGCCCTATCCCTCGAAGCCCCAATACAATTGGGAGGGCGCGCCAGCATTATCAACCAACGACCACTCCCCACACCGTGGGGTTAGTGATCATTGGGTCCGAGAATCATGTGCCTGGATTATTATCATTATTATTATCATTATTATCAATGAGAAATGGATAATGGCACTTCGTAGCACAAATATTTTCCCAATAATTGAAAAAGGGTTGAACAAATCAGGTACATGAGTAGTCGGCCGTCCCATTGTGAGTACGAATTCACCATGACCATTTTCAGTTTGCGCTAACAGCAAGGTAGATCACGTCAGGTATAAAAACCTGCAGACCACGGCTAATAAACCCGGAAACATCAGACAACTTGTAAGACACTGGCCAATGAATTAACACATTTTATTACGCATTGGTATAATAAATTCCAAAGTCTCATTAGCGACATTATACATTTCCTAACGGCCATCAAATTCACACCAAGGATCTAATTGTTCCATTTACCTCGAAAGTTCAGTGACAGAAAACTAATCAGCAGAACAAACTAAATACTTGATGTGCACGATCAGATGCTGCAGCAAATATGAAAGTCCGGTTCCTGTTGGTAGTAATTTTCTGCGGTACTCTGGCGCAGTCCAAATTGCTGGATACTAGCAGACACGTGGTTGCCCGCCAAAAGAGAGCATTGATATGGAGAAATGTGGGTTCAAATTGGGTACAGGTATGTTTGCAAACGAATTTCAATAACGTAGTTAATGATTATAATCATTATCTTTATTAGTTTCAACAGCTTACTTAAAATTAATTATGCAGTTCGTAACCTCTCTCCGATAGAACGGTTATGCCAATAACAACCGTAACCTGAAAAAAAGTTATGTTCGAATAGATATCGAAGTGAAAGGAAGACTGGTGGCTGCCTACGCCGGTAACCAGGCTGGATGTCGAATGATTCAATGAGGTCGTCAGTTCTATAAAATATATGAGCATGTTTATTTGTGTGATTTTTATCCGAAGGCCTCCTGAGAAGGAAGCGACCTGTAAAAAATAAAGTGTTTTTGTTGAAAAAACATCTGAATAAAAACTTGGGATGGCAGCATTGCCTTGAGCAAGACCACTGCACCCTCTGACGAAGCTTCTGTTCACTATGGACAGGATGAGCCTGGCCAAATGCGCTCGAATGAGAAGCAACAGTTATAGAACTTAGAGAGAGAGAGGGAGAGATCATATACGTGTGCCCAGATATACCTGTCTATACTAAAACCAATAATGATTGAGAGTAGAAGTAAGGCCAGTTGACAGCAAATCGGGGGCGTGCTTATTAATTTTTGAGAGGGTTAAGAATGAAAGAAAAATTCTTAGTACAATTAGTTAAAATATTCATACACATTTTTTATTTATTTCATTAAAACATTCCCATTTTTGGGACCAATTCATGATCGCTAAGTGCCTCCAGAACTGTTTGTAGTGTGGGCAGCTCATTTCTGAAAAAGAAACTGTGAATAGTTCTGCGAATACAGGCTTTAGCTTCGTCATCAACTGTGATTTTTTTTCGTCCGCTACTAGTTTTTGGCGTTTGTACGTCCCCACGTCCCCATTGTGTGAAAGTCTCATAGTTGTCATTTATTTCAGTTCATTTTTGGTTTGGGTCTTCCGTTTGAAGTGAAACGAAATGCCGTTACACTCGGAACAGTTATGAAGGCCTTCTACCTCCTCCCGACGAACAGCTCAATCTACACACGTCCGTCGCTTGTCATATACGAGAGGAAAAAAAGATCTACATCGAGATGGATGCTCTATGAGATATTGGAGAGGTTCCTAGCGAGGTGAGTTGATGAAAAATTGTTTCCTCCTCTACTGATAAAGAACCTGCTTCTACTGCTCAAGAAATTGGTGCAAGATAGATTCATAACCCTGGGGCAACGGTCAGCAACAAGCAGACCTCGGTCCGTTTGCGGACCGCGAAAGATTGAACCTTGGACCGCCAAATATTGTAATGTTTTGTATACCAAGTATGAATTGATACGTAGGTATACTTTTATTAATTGAAATAATATTTTGAAACTGAAGAGTTGAAAGAAAATATAAAATTAATATGTGATCTGATATGTGACAAAGCGTGTCTGCTTTCCGTCGCAAGCTGGATATCTTTGAAAAAAATATTGCAAGACAAGAATTTACTCATCGAATAGAACTGGCCGATACTTGATGAAAATCCATATTAAAACTCATTAATACAGTAAGATTCCAAAACATTGCAGAGATGGGCAAGCTATCTTTGTTTCTTAAATCGCCATTTGAAGTTGATGTAGCGACAGAATGGACAGATGTGGCTACCAAGTTGTTTGAACTGTCAAAGCCATCATTTCAAATAGAGATAATTGATTTGAAAGAAGATGTGTCTGCAAATGTATAAAACGGTATCCACTGAATAATTTCGGACCAAACGTGTCCCAGAAAAGACACACTTCGAATTTGCCGTCCCTCTCAAGAACTAAACTATAAAAAACTGGCTCGAGACCGTAGGAGTAGTTTCTCACATTATTTTCAGGCCTTGTTTTATAATTCAGAATTTGATTTGAAACTAAAATAATACATTGGTGGCACTTAATTCATATCAGTTGTTTTTTTCTGGACCTCATTAAAATTTTTCTTGCCGACCCCTGCCCTGCGGTATGCCTCTGTTGTACTACTCTGTTCAAAAAAGAAGTTGAATTCTGATTTTTCTCAAAAAATATTCATGTATTCATCAGTTTCTATTTTGTCCCCATCGAAATAGCCCCCCTCATATCTGAGGGGGGCTAATGGAATGTGAGTAGCTCGCGAAATTTCAACATTCACTTAATTTTTTGAACAGCCCAGGTATGTCTTTGATAATCTACATCTACTTTATGTGTCAGACTTGACGATTACCAGAAATGTTCATATTTTCAGATACAATAATGGCGATGGAAAATCCTGTATTTTGAAGTCAATATGTGAAGTTTCTCATTCACCATTAGAAGAGTCCACAGGAATTCTTGCTGAGATTGTCGCTGCTGTGCTGAAGTAAATACCAAATTATTAGTTTTCTTCATACCTAATTACTTTATATTTCATACTCTTTTTTTACTCATTCTATATTTTTTGTACTATTTTCATCATTATTAATATTATTTCATATTCTAATTTTTCAGGCCTTCTGCGACTGAAGAGATTTTCCAACATCCCACAAATATGGATTATGTTTCGGCGGAAAAACTAGGAGCTGAGGTCGGAAACTGTGAATTGCTATACCCCGAATGTAAGATTGATATTCTTCAACGATTCTCGAGATTTATAAACTGAAAAAACCAGACCGATATTTTATTTCGTAATTCCTCTTCAATTGTCAGCATATATTTCAGGGGGCATAGTTTTTCTAGATTGAAAATTGGGTTTTTCGTTCTTATTAGTCAGTGGCCTATGCTTGAAGACAGGCAGTGAAGAAATCTAAAGAAATGAACTTTAAATGTTGAATAGACTGACGCCTACCAGAAAACAACTACTCCACTGGCTAATACCACGAAGGGCGTTGGATTATATCCGACAGGCGTCAGTGTAGGAAATTTCCTGCATATGCAATACAACTGAAAGAGTCAACCTTCAATTTTGGAACGGGCACACTTGCAAACCGGTTTTGAGGTCATTAACCACTCGTCAGTGCAAGATAGTGATCATCATCGACCTAAAGTCAATGATATTCCATTATTGAAAATCGAAATTCTTTCAGAGTATTTCATTCCTCGTCTTAAGTTGGAGCGAACATCAAAAACGTCACTCCATCTGGTGGACGAGGTACTAACCAACTGCATATCCAAAATTTGTCCGATTCCTTTGAATAAGGAAGAAAAACTTTCTTATTAGTCAGTGGACTATGCTTGAAGACAGGCAGTCTCGGATATACCTACACAGTAGGTTGAATTGACTGACGCCTATCAGAAAACAACTACTGTGAAGATTTCTGCACTGACGCCTGTCGGATATAATCCAACGCCGTTCGTGGTATTAGCCAGTGGAGTAGTTGTTTTCTCATGTGTAGGCAGTACACATGAGAAAACACAGTAGGTTGAATGGACTGACGCCAGTCAAGCACTCGACGGGCTTGAATATTTAAAGTTCATTTCTTTAGATTTGAAAATAGGGGTGGAACTGTAACTTGGGAATTATTTCTTTATTCTCTAATCAGAGAAATATTCCAATAATTCGAAAAACGCTTCATTGTGAGACTTCACAAAAATGCCGCAACCCATGTTTCGCTATACTATAGCTTCTTCAGGCGTTGTTTAAAACTGTTATGGATTTTCAAGTATTAACCGATTCCATCACATATATTCCAATTTGCTTTTTCTCACGGCCAAGAACTGTACAGACAAAGAGATCCGAACTCCTGATCCTCGTTAATAATGATATGTTAAGTTTATAAAATGTATGTCGATTGTGATGAAAAAAATAAAATTGGAAAAGCCGAATGAGAACAAATAAATAAGAAAATAATTGGGATTTGTTCAAAACTGGTCTGTCAGTTCAATGACAAGTACACAATTTTCATTTTCTCAAGTACTCCATTCAATTAAGTTGTTTGAATTTTCAATACATTCATAAAAAGATTCATAAAAAGAATAGATTGGTTTAAAATATTCATTTATTGAAGTTGAACTTATGAGTTTCTTCATTCTATCATCTGACATGTTCAATTTTTCAAACATACATGAACTTCTAAATCAAAGTTTTCGATATTTTCCTTGGCTCTAGATGCTGAGTGTCAGCTACTATTAATTCCTTGTTGGCATTGGCAAATACCAATGTCAATTTTTTTTAATGATAACATCATAAGTTGAAGTGAAGATGGCTGAGAATCAAGAGGTTTTTTTGAAAACCTGGAATAAATTGAGTTTCATCATTTTCTACCACAAATCTCTTACCAAACATATTTATTTCAATTTCTGTATATAACAGTAATATTCTAAAACAATATAAGTACAGATTTCAAAATTTGAAATATGTTATTATCGTTCTTAAATCGTTTATACAGATACATGCCTTTGTATCATTCCTATTGCGTGTTCCCATTGTGTAAACGGCTTTTCTATGGCTGTTGAATGTTGTACTAAATGAATAGATGAATAAATAAAAACTTATCCATACATAAGTTTTTCAAACAGGATAGAACAACTGTTTCGATGATTTGTTCAGAATAAGGAATAGGAAAACTGATAATAATTCATGTACAATTCATAAAGAAGAAGAGATGGTAAATAGATAGGTTTATCACATAAAAGGTTGTTACCCCGTGTATGGGGTATGTATACACACTAGAATAATCACAATTAAGACTTAACACAATAAGATACATTTTAAGAATAACTCATATAGTCTATACACAATTATTGAGACAGTGTCGAACAGTGAAAATTCTTTTAGTGAAAAATTGAAACGGATAAATCAGAACGAAAGAATCATCGTGCATATTGGTTTTTGAAGTCGGAATATTTGTAAATCATAGCGATGGGTATGTCAAAGTAACCGATATAGTAATTCTTAAAGCTATCGGCGAACTCAAAGGCCAAAAAAAACAATACAAAGAAATAAAGCCGCTACGAATTAGTCCACGTGGACTGAAGAATTGGCGGTTCGTATTGGATTATTTCTACTAATCGAGTTTTATGATTGGCTGAAGAGTCATAAAATTAAATTTGAAGTCATGTTACGGTTACCTTTATATGTTCATCTAATAAAATCATTTCCTACAGTTGAAATTATACTGAGAAATTGAATACTTTCGGCCATAACGTGAGCTGCTGTGACAAAACTCTTCAGGATTGGATAAAAAAATTAGTAGTTAGATTTAAAATAATAAACAAACGTCAAGCAGTTATGGAAAGCAGAAAAATCGTGGAATTGCGTAACAAATACTTAGAACAAATAATTAAATATAGACAAGAACAACGGTAAATTTTCTATTTGGACGAAACTTGGTATGACACTCACGACACAGTTACGAAAGGGTGGACTCATGGTTCGACTTTCGCGTTCGCTTCCGACAGCTGGTCGTGCTGTCATCCTCTAGGCTCTACTCTTTCTGAACGTATCATCCTGCTGTGTGTCCTTTCATCTATTTAATTATTTGCGAGCGCTTTCGACAGCTGGTCGTGCTGTCATCCTCTAGGCCCTACTCTTTCTGAACGTGTCATCCTGTTGTGTGTCCTTTTATCTATTTAATTATCTGCGAGCGCTTTCAATAGCTGGTCGTACTGTCATCCTCTAGGCCCTACTCTTGTTTCGTATGTCGTGTGTTGCAAGGTTTGAGTTTATGAATGCCTTTTTGTGCTCATCGTACCTTTGGATCCGGTTTTTCTTGGTTTGACCCATATAGAATTTGTTGCAGTCCGAGCATTGTATACTGTATATCCCGTTTTGGTTTTTGTCTTCTTCTTTTTCATAGCTGTTTATTTTTTATGTAATTTTCGTGTTTGACTTGTATGTGATGTTGATGTTTGTTAGTTTTTTGGTTTGGTGTCCTACGTACGTAAATGCTGTCCATCGTTGTGTTGTTTTGTCTGTTGGGGTGGCTTGATCCTTGTTCTGTATTTTTTGTTTGATTCTGTTTTCTAGTTTATCTATTGTCTTTTGGGTGTATCCGTTTTCGTTCGCTATTTGGTATATGATTTTCCGTTCTTTGTTTCGGGCTTCATTGCTGAGT